AACAACCAATTTTTACGAGCCTGCTGCTGTCTTGGAAGATTCAGATGTAGTATCAAAACAAACTATCGTCTCTCCTGATCAGCATTTTTCTTTATTTAATATTATAAAACATTTGTTTAAATGCTTTATTAAATAAGTTAAAACAGACCTTTAACCCTGATAATATTGAATTTGTTGGTTTTTATAAGAAATTTTCCTCCTTTTCGAAGCTATGAACAAATTGTTGTACACCCTTCTGATTTAATAACATTTATTATAAATATTTGTAGCAAATTGTGTAAATTAAATAATTGTAAATAACATATGGGGTCTTATCAATAGAAATGTATTATATAACATAATAAATTATTATACTGTGCGGCAGTGATGGCAAATTATAAGGTCTTTTGACAACCCTGCTGTGCGGTTCGACCTAGTGATCAGAATTTTATAACTTTCTTGAAAAAAAAAATTATTACTGTAAATCACAAAATTTAGTAAATACTAATGTAATTTATAAACCCAGGTTTTAGCTTAACACTACCAGTCCTTATAAAAGATAACAAAATTAGATAATAATTAATCTACTGTAAATGTAATGATAATTAAGAATATGTAAATAAATCAATTTTTTTTTATTTAAAAATCATGATGAATCCTTTTAAATTTACAAATGAAACGATAAGAATTGTCCTTTTTGACACTTTAAACACCGACATTAAACCTTCAAGAGCAAATCATCGAAAGGATATTAATTAGTAATAATTCTCTTAAGGGGGAAGAATTTAAATTGATGATATTTACCAAATTCCAAATGAGAACCGTACGTTAAAGTGTTTATTGTATGACCTTATTTTAATTATTAAAGATTTATTATTATCATATAAATATTTAGCAAAAGGAAAGAAAAAAATGCAAAAGTATACTTACATCCTTCATGAATTTTTACAAATAATCTGAAAATAAAAATAAATACATTCGAAATATCGAATGTATTTGTCACTATACGTCTCCCTTCTCAAATGTTGCATTTGGTAATGCAGAAGAGAACATTGGAAGATTGTCAATCCCCTTAAAATGGATTGTGGATATGACAACCATCTAAGTTTTTTAAAAGATTCAGTAAGTCAAGTTAAACAAATTAGGTTAAAGATTCACGCACACTAGATAACTTACGCAACATTAACACCTGATTTCGGAACCATAGCTAGTGCAGAAAATCTATTCAGCCAAATATATCGAAATGCTAACAAAAAATAAACCCGTTATTAATTCATTAGCAACATTCCCTCAAACGAAAAAGAATTTCAACATACCATATCCATCATCTTCCGGTAAAGTTTTTCGAGTTGAAGTGTCATTGTTATTTATTATCTTCTTTAACGTATTTAACTGCGTTGGGTTATCGGGCATTATAAAAGAAATATACTCCTCATTGATGAATGAGAGAGAAATATTAATTGTTCTGTTCAGTACAGTAAGTACAGTAAGTACAGTAACCAAGAAAATGATTTTTGAAACTTCTAATTATAGAAAGGCTGATCGCTCATCAATAATTTTATTGGACATTATGGAAAAATCAAAATATGATTTTCAAGTGGAAATTAACTATTGCAACTTCTTTTCTAATACATCCATCTCGATGAAAGCTTATTTAGTAGACAAAATAAACTTTTCTTTTATAATACACGAAAACCCAACGCAGTTATGTATGTTAAGAGAGATAAAAAAATTATTAACAAAAAATGAACCGGAAGATGGATATGGTATGTGAAAGTATTTTTCGTTTAAAGTATGTTGCTAGATGAATTAACAATAGACTATTTTTATTAGCATTTCGATATATTTGGATGAATAAATTTTCTGCATCAGTTGTGGTTCCGGAATATGACATGACGTTGGTAAGTAAGTTAATTGTGCTTGAAATTGTAACCAATTTTATTGGCTTATCGAATCTTTTAAAAACTTAGATGGTTAATGACATATCCACAATCCCATCTTAAGGGGATTGATAATCTTTCGATGTTTTCTTCGAGAAACATTTATGAGTTAGAACGTAATAGTGGAATTAAAAAATTAACAGGATTTGTAATATCAAGTTTTAAATCTCATTATAATATTGTCCTCAAATGCAACATTTGAGAAGGGAGACGTAACTTTTCGTCCACCATATAATGACAAATACTTCGAATGCAAAGGTTCTTCCATGAAGATATTGATGAAGGGATGTAAGTATTCTGTATTTCTTTCTTTCCATTTTACTAAATATTTATGATGATAACGATAAGAATAAATCAAAATATAGTCATGCAATACTTTAACGAAATTATTGTTAAGGATGTCCAGGTATCTAAAAAAAAAAAATCCAATAAATACGGATCTCAGGCTTGGCAACTTGGAACTTTGGTAAATATTATCAATTTAATTTTATTTCCCCTTTAAAGGTATTATTACTAATTGAACCCTGTCGACCATAGGCTCTTAAAGGTTTAATATCGGTGTTAAAGTAATGATTATTCAACTTTGCCCGATAATTGATGCAATAATTAGATGATCTTGAAACTTTTGAATATAAAACATCATTTCAAGGTTATAGATTGATAACTAATTTTTTAAATACAAAAATTGATTTATATTCTTAATATTACTTAATTTCTTTAACATCTATTGATTAATTTAAATATGGTCACATAAATTACATTTTTTATATTTAATTATTATCTTTAAAATTTTGACCATAATTTTCAATTTTACATTAGCAATTTCTTATACCGATTCCAATTATATTGCTGTTGATAAAATGTATTTGAAAAATAATATAATGATATCAAATTTGTCATAATTTTAAATTAATATTAAATTACTCTATATAATCACAAATCGACTATGATCACTCCTATTTTTTCTAAGCATATATATCATTTTTATTATTAATTAGACCTCTTTTAAAATCATTATAATTTTGGTCAAATTATAATTTTAATCAAAATTACGAATCACATAACTTATAATTATTATACAAATTTTCATTTTTAGAATTTAACGTTATACCGTAGAGCACTCCTTTTGATTGTACCCCCCTGATAATATACCCTGGTATTTTATTGGATGCAAAACGATGTTCTCAAGTTAAGACCCGGGTATCAATCAATTTTCAAATCAAGTAAATTGATCTATACCCAGATATTTTATCAATCATAAATAAATTAATTTACATATAATCTTAATATTAATTGTATAAAACAAATAATTTCATAAT